GGCTCAGACATGCTCCTGACACAGCGCCAAGGTCAGCACAACTGGGCTTTCACGAGCCAGGTTAGGAGGCAGATTCTGCAAAGAGCATGCACAGCCCTTGGGAGAGCTAGACCTCTCACCTAATCATCTCCATGTGTTTGAATGATCTTCTCGGAACCACAATGTCCATGCAAAACTGTTGTACCCTTCTCTGCTCGAGCACCTTCAGCACAATGATACASCCCAGTTCACTGCAGGAGCAGAAGGGTGACTTCTCATAGAGTGGGTAGGAGCTTATGACTGCAGTTAGATGCAAGGTCTTGAGGAGAGGGCCATTTGCTTTCTGGTAGGGAGAAAGCAAGGGGACAGACCTTGCTCTCCACCCACCACTTTGCAAGACCTGTGCTCAGAATGGAGCCCCTGAGCCTGGTGGGCTGGGAAGTGTGTGAATCCCGCCAGGGAAGGGGGTGAGGTGAGGAAGGGCTCTTGGTCAGGATGTTTGGGGATTGCATTGCCCCCGGCATGGTGGCCATACTTTACTAGGAGGTGCAACCACGTGGTTCCATGGGACATCCCAAAGAGGATCACCTAGGCTGAACATCTTTGAAAGGAGCAAGACACCAGCCCCACATGAGGAGCCTCTCTCCAGCGCAGGCCAACAGCCCCGTATCTTGGCACAGCCCACAGGCACAGAGCAGCTCCAGCTTCCACAAGTGGCCCAGTTTCCCAAAGCACGAGCCCATCCACACCAGTGCGCACTCCTGCCCAGCATGCAGCTCACCTCATCCCCTCACTGTGCTCTGCTTTAAAAAGCCTCCACCCAAGCMATCTCCCCTGGCCATGGAAGAAACAGCAGAGACGCAGTGTGCAGGTGTAGGAGTAAGGAYGGGTGAGCCCCGGTTGTAAGAGAAGGCGAAATGAAGAGCTGAGCAGGCATGGCAGGGAGATCTTCATTCCTACGGAGCTGAAGAGCAAGCCAGGACTTGAGGCACCAGCGCAGGGGAGAATCCAACGCGGTTTGCCCGACTGGTTTGCTGAGCAGCTTGCAGCAAGGCTGGCCTGCAGCGGGATTGAAGCTCCTGGCAACTCACCCCAGGGTCCAGCCCAGGGCCAGGGCAGCTGGGGATGCCGCTCTGAGCTGCTGGCAGTGCCCGTGCAACCGCGGAGGAGAGCACAGGACACTGGGGATTAGCTGGCGGGGAGGTTTTAGGGTAGTTATCTCATGGAGGGGATCCTTYTCCTGGTAGCACCAGGTGTCATCTCTGTGGGAAAGAGATGGAGAAATGGAAGGGGGTGAGTGAAAGTCCGAACCCTTCCTCCTCCAACATCCTTCTGGAGCTGGGGGGAGGAGAAACTGTTTTGCAAGGGAATCTTTCAAAATTTCCTCAGGAAAAAAAAAAAAAAAGATTATTTTTAAGATTAGTGAGATTCTCCACAGTCCTGTTGAAAACCTAGGGATTTTTCTACTTCTTAAAGAGCCACATTTCATCACAAGGGATTTGTGATGAGCTTTTATTTCCTCATCCAGCTCTGACATTTGGCAAGTGGAGATGAAGAGGAGGTGCTCTGCAATAGGGCTGCTAAGGCAGAAGAGTGAAAGAGCCGAAGACTCCTGAAGACACAGACAGGTGGGAAAGAAGAGAGATCAGACAGGGAGAAGGACCAAAGGGAGAGGGACTAGGAACAAAAGGAGGGCAATCCAGGCTCCAAGGATGTCAGGAGAAATGAGGAAAGGCTGTTGTGGAGGAACATGGGGGGGCAACAAGACGCTCCTCAGTGGAGATGTGACTTTGAGAACAGCTGTGGGACTCAGGGAGATGACCAGCAAGAGGAGACAACCAGTCCTGTCCCAACAAGSTCTCTGCAGAGCCCATGGTCTCATTGTACCAGACACACTATGACCGCAGGAGGGACTGTCCCTGTCCAAATAGCTCCCAGCTCAGAGGAGCCATCTCCCCATCACCCGCAAGASAGCTGGTGCCCCAGGACGTAGAGTGAATCACTAAAGCCACCATGGTGACCACGGTGGCATTGGGAGCAGGGCCTGCTGCCCTTTTTCCATCTCTCCGGGCTGCAGATGTGCAAGTGCTGCCCTGGCAGAGGCTGCTGCAGGCGCCAGCCCAGCTAACCGCCCGGCAGCCTCTGCCGCAGGAACGCCGCGATGCCGGAACCTGGGCAGGAAGGAGCAGGAGGAAGATGGGGCTCATCCGTAGCGTTGGGACTGGGATGGTAAGAGAGACGCTTGGCCAAAGGGCACCGCTGAGCAGCCCACGGCAGCCRCTTCTGCCGGCGGCCCAGCTGCAGAGAGAGGGCCGCACTGTGGCCGGAGACGTGGATTCATCGTGTGGCTTCCAGAGCAGCATCACGATGCTCCCGGTTACCCTCAGGAGCAGCCCCTGAGCCCCAGCACCCTGTGCAGGGAGCTGGGCCGCGTACGGGATGAACGAATAGGAGCCCAAGGGATGCCAGCAGTGAAAAGGAAACAGTGGCATGGAGATGGTGCAGAAAGGGTGGAGGGAAATGCCAGTGATGACAAACGCGTGAAATAAGGGATAACACCCCCACCCCCACCACCTCCCGGCCCAGAGCTGCCCTCTAAGGAATGGCAGTCTCGTTTTTCAGAGCAGCGTCCTCGTGCCTCCTCCCTTCCCCTGAGAATCCGGGAGGCATTTCTCACTGGAGGGGACCCTCCCTGTGCCCTCGCAGACACAGCCGCATCTGGAATGCAGCTGAGCCGGCCTCCCCTGCCATGGGTGCCCTTGATGTCTGCAGCGGATGGGCTGGATTCAGGTCCCCCGCACCCCAGGAAACTGCTCCCTCCGGGTCTCAAGTCCTTCTTCCCCTTTGCCACCTGGGGAGAGCAGGTTCCTGCTGGACCAGGCTATCAAGCCAGGAACAGGGAAGCTACATCCGTGTGGACAGAGCACCTTGGTGTCTGCAGGAGCCTCCCGGCTCCTGGGGACCTTCCTGAGAAAGTCCCGTTGCAGAGGGGCAGCAGCGGGAGCCTCCAAGAGGCTYCCCCATTTGTAAGGCCTCTTCGCTTGACAACCTGCTTGCAAACAGCTCCCGCTGGCCGGACCTGCCACAAGGACAATCTGCATCCGGATTTGGGTAAATAAACTGCCGGGTGTGCGAGCTGCGGTATGCCAGGAATGCCGTGAACCCTTCCTGAGCAACTGCCTGCAGTTTATGGGAAGCAGGAGGGGGTGGGGAGGAGAGCCAGGTACTGGCTCTGCTCGCAGCRTTGCTCAGGCACTTCCCTGTTTTCTCCTGCCGGGAACAGAGCGGGGTTGAGGTCCTGTCGCACAAGGAGCCACCAGGGCAGCCTCCAGCCAGCGCTGGAATGAAGACATGGAGCTCGCCAGGGAGAGCAGCTATCGGAGCACCCAAATGGAGACGTGGATGATTGCGATCAGCTACGAGCCAACGCCAGGTGGTGGCTTGGCATTCTCAGGTGCTTCCCGCGATCGCCACGTGCCAACTGGCCCAGGGATGCTGCAGCCCGTGGAGTCACAGGAGGCCAAAGGAAAGGCAGAATTAGGGGTGCTGTCTCTCTGCTCCTGAAGCTCCAGGACCCCCTAACTTTCCAGCTACTCTCCTTTCTGCCTCCCTGCCACTGCTACCATGTGGTCTTACATATGAACAGCTGAGCCTTCTCACTGCTGCTTCCTCTGCAGGAGCCACAGGTGCCTTATAAGAGCAAACAGATGCTTATGGAATTGCTGCACATCACACCCCATAGGAGATAAGTTCCCAAGTTGGGTTCAAAAATGTATGGCAAAGATTGTCAGCATCCCCATTCTGCAGCTCTATGCTGAGGCCGGTGATGCTCAACATATTCATAAGTCATCTTCCAGAGGGATGACAGTCAGCAACCAAGCTTGTTTCTTATGCAGTGATCTGCATAGTCAGAGCTCAAGCCACCTGCAGAGTTGCACAAGACCCTGCTCCTCAGAGATGGCATGATAAAACCGCAGGGGAAATGAGCTGTCAGTAAATGCAAAGTAATGTGCAAAAGGGAAAGCCCCAGCCCAACTGTCTGTGTAGGCACTGATTCCTTCAGAGAGGTTCCTAGCACCCAAGAAACAGATTGAAGAGCCCCATGGAAGCTCCCTTGGAAGCATCAACTCTGTGAAATGGGGAAAGACTGGGGAGCATTATTATGTTGCTATATAAATCCTGAAGCAACCCCAGCTTGAATATCAGGAGGTTTTCTGGTCTTCCACCACCTCCAGAAGGGCCAAGTAGCATGAAGAAGGCTTGAAATTGGCTRATGAAGGTAACGTGCTGCTGCTACCTTGCAGCATTGCCTTGGGAAGCTCTTCTCCCGTTCAGATCCCCGTTGCCCTCCTCCCTCTCCCATTGCCACTGAATTCTCATAATCCCATMATCTCTTCGGAGGTCTTGGCCAGCCACCACCATGACTTGGCCAGACTGTACCTGGGAGCAAGTATTTGCCTGCAAGACCTCCATGGAACACTAGAAGCAACCAGGCAGAGAAGCAAGAGGCCAACCCTGCACCTACAGCCACCAAGCAGATCCCTTCCTTCCTCACACCCATTTCCAGGGTCCCTAAATCCCCGGGCACCACCCCTTTCCCATGGGCTATGTCTCATTTGTGCCATGTTGCGTGGGAAAAGAGCACCTTTKGGTCAATATTTGTATTTTTTTATTAAAATACTGTTATACCAAGTGGAATGCTACAGCAATCTCGGTATAGGGCGGCATAACGAAACAGCCAGGTTCATGTTTAAATACTTACGATAACTTAAAATGCACAAACAAGAACTTATTGTCTTTGGCAGAAAAAAAAAAGTTCACAGCACGAAAAAATACTTAAAAAGAAATAACCAATATTAATATAAAATATATTAAGTTGTGTTTTTTCCTCTTTTTTTTTTTTTGTTTTCCACTTTGTAAACAATGCACAAGAACCGAACGCATTTTTTACGTGTCTGGGAGAGAAAAATAAAAAATGCAGTTGTCCAGCAAATGCATAGATGTTTAAAGAAGAAAGAAAACAAAAACATACACGAGGGCCAAGGCTGGAAAGTGTCTGAGTTCAGAGGACTGAGAAACTCTCACTAAAATCAACGCTGGCTACTGGCAGAAACCAGCTGCCAGCAGACGAGGGAGGTATGAGAATTCCCAGCAAGAAGAGGCCAAGGCAAAGCTCGGTGCAGAGCCACAAAAGGGCGACAACGTCCCACCCAGCAAAATCAGACGTGCTTGTTTCTCTTCAAGAGCGTTTCACCTTCTTCTCCTTAGACTTCTCCTCCACCTTCCATTCTCTTCTTTTTGCACAAGTGTCATCCCATCCCCTCCCTTTATAAGGAAAATCCTGTCGATTGACACATACCTAGGACTCTTCTGAAAGCTCCTTTCTGTATCCCTCTCCCTCCTGCAGCTGCACTGGAAACCTTAAGGTACTGTGCTTGCAAATAAAGGTTCTTAACTCCTGGCCCTGGGACCACTCCACTTGGCCAYGCAGATTTGGATGGGGCTCAGACACTGGAGAGCAGCTGCAGATCCCTCCAGGCTCTGCCCCTATGAAGAGCAGCTCAGAAGCAGAGACATACCCGCACTCGCACACAGATACTTGGCTCACTGCTACTGTTCAGACAGAAGGGAAATTCCAGTCGAAGGGACCACAGGAAAGCACCCTGAAGGACACGGAAGGCAGAGATACAGAGACAGGATCCGGGCTGGAGAACATGAAGGACCTGACAAGTGAGGGGGGAAGGAGAGACACCCCACAGTCAGCAAAGGAGGAGGGAGGAAGGGAAAGGAACTGAAATGATAAATACGTTTGCGGTATCCTGTTCTACAAAACACGGGTGTATTTACAAGGGGGATCACGTCTCCTGGGCTGCAAGCCCCTCGTCACTGTACAGCTTCTGCACGCAAACACCTCCAGGGTCTGGAGCGCTCCAGAGCGCTCCTTGTCCTGTGCGGCCCCACAGGACRTGCCCGTGGCCCTGACGGGATGCCAGGGGTAACATCCCAGCAGCAAGCCCCGCTCCCCAAACCTGGCGGCCCAAACYGGCGGCGCCGGGGGGTTGCTGGGGTTCTCTCAAAACCAGCCTGCCCACAATAGATGCTGCTGTCCTCCTGGTCACCACTCTGACCACGGCAGGATGTGTGGAGGGCTGGAGGCACAGCCTGGTCCCCGCAGACTGTGGCATCCTCCCTGCAAAGCCTCTTCTTCCCTCAGACTCCGCCATCCAGGAATTTGCTGCTATGGAGAACAAGTCTCTTCTGGGCACCTGGTGAGCAAAGGGCTTCTCTGACCACACAACAGTCTGTGAGTTGGGAGAGGATGACATGTCTGCCCTGGGTGGCCAGAACTGCCCGTMTTTAAATCAAGATCTCCACCATGTCAGACAGGTCAAGGGCTCTGGCTGCAGCCAAGCTCTCTGCAAAGAAACAAAGAGAAAACCATGAAAGCCCTGGAGGAGCAAAGAGCTTCACAGAAGTCATACCGAAAACAGCACCAGGTGATTTTGGAAGCTCTGAGCTTTGTCAGAGGAAAACCCAGTCTTGCTCCCCTCCCTTATCTTTTCCCCTGTGCTTTTCCATAATCCTTCCCAGCCAGTGACTCCACTTGGCCCCTCCAGCACCGTCCACATAGCACCCATGGTACCTCCCATTAGTCAGAGCCGTGGGAGGCCAAGCCCTGGTAGCTGGCACAGAGGAACCAGTTCCTTGCTCACGTCTTGGCTATGCAAGGCGCTCAGAGCAGAGCAGAGGAACATCCCCAGGTTTCCTCTGTGCCACCGGGGCCTGGGCAGGCRTTTGGGGTGGCGGGAGGGAAGCAGGACTTACCCAGCGAGCTGGCCGGGCGCTCGGGCCCCTCGCCCTGGCTGCTGCTTTCARCCAGGCTGTCCGTCTGCGTGCTGCCATCCTTGCTGCCATGCTTGGAGTGAAAGGGCTGGGGGGCAGAGGTGGGCAGTGCCACTGCTTCTTCTGCTGGAGCTTTGCCTGCTGGAGGAAGGCAGAGGAGATGCTGTTGGAGCTCAGGCAGTCAGCTCTGTTGTGGGGCCTGAGTGTTTTGTGATGCTCCCCCAGGATCTACAGCCACACAGCTCRGTGGACAAATCTCACGTCCTCCAAGAAACACCTCAAGTCTTTCGAATGCCAGAGAGTTACTCCCAAACGTCCTGAGAACAAGGGGGACTCCCAGGCAACTCTCTACCTCAAAGCAGAGGCAGGGAGCATGCGGGAAACTCCATTTACCTGCACACCCGCGGGAGGTGCCCTCTGCCAGTCGGTCACTTGGGCTAGCACCCTGCCAGCTCTGGGTCCCAGAGGCTGCAAAGATGGACGGCACGGACTTGGCCGGCCGCAGGGAGCCTTGGAGGGCTTTGCTGGGGTCCTTCCGTGAGCGCTGCTGCAGCACTTTGATGACAGCATCCTTCTCCAGTATCTGGGCATGCAGGGCTTTCAACCTGGAGAGGTTAAGAGGGAGAAGTTGAGAGAGGGCTAGGATGGGGGGGTTGGTGCAGGCTTCAGTGGCTGGGGCAGGGGGAACGATGATGAAGCCTCTGTTGGGCAAAGCCTTGTCAGGCCCAGCTGGCCTGGCCACTAGTAGCCATGGAGAAGCCGTGCTGGAAACACTCAGTGATGGTGCTGCCCAGCCAGACGAAAGAGCAGTGCGTCRGGAAACACAGCATCTGAGGTAGCACTACCTGCTCTCCATCTCCTGCTGCTTGTGGTTGGCCAAGAGGAGGTCCTCGTTGAAGCTGCTGTTGGGAGAGTGCCGCGGGGAGTGGCTGATGAGCGTTGTGTCCCGCTGGGCGGCTGCGGTGGCCGCGGCGTCCATGGCGAACTGCCGCATGGTGCACTCCTCCAGGTACTTCTGCTCCCACTTGGTCATGTCGGCCTCCAGGGCAAGGATCTTCTCCTCCTTCTCTCTCAGTTGCTCGGAGAGCGTGTGGGCGCTCAGCTCCGAGGCTCCCCCGCCTGGGGTGCCTGCCTGCCTCTGCATCGGCAAAGAAAACCCCCGGAGAGGGTGAGCGGGGCCAGGAGGAGACACTGCCTGGTGCCCGGTGCCTCCCTGGCCCCCAAACTGCATCATCACCAGCGGAGCCCTCACCTGCTGAGCCCGCAGCATCTTCAGCTCCTGCTCCAGGCGCGTGCGGAGCCGCAGCTCCAGCTGCTCCCGCTTCTCGCAGGCGGCCTGGAGCTGGCCCAGCGCTGCCTGCAGCCTCTCCACCTTCTCCACGTACGCCCGCTTCTTGCGCAGCTCGGCCTCTGCCTTGGCYGCCCGGGCCTGGGCGCTGCCCAGCGCCTGCTCCAACAGCTCTGCCCGGCGCCGCTGGTCCTCGTTAGCGCTGCGCAGCAGGGACACTTCCCGCTCCAGCTTTTCCTTCTCCTGCTGGTGCTCATAGCCTACAAAAGGCAACATTCACGTCAGCTACAGCCCCAGCACAGAGCTCCCCCGGGCTCCCGCCCTGGCAGCTCGAAGGCTGACGGAGGGCAGAAGCTCTGCAAATCCCCTGCCCGCTGCTTTGCAGTGCTGGGAAAGCAGAGCACGCGAGGCAGCGAGCAAGCAGCGAGGGCTCCTCTCCTCCCCATGGCAGGAGCACCCTGCCTTCCCAAGGCATTTTGCTTCCATAGCTTTGCTCCTGTGGGCCAGCCTGCCTGCTCAGTGTGAATATYGAGCAGACAAGCCAGGTCAGAGCCAAACATCTACCCAAGAGCATGGAGACCCACAACAGAAAGAGCCTGGGCCTAGCATCATTGAGCCTAAGCTCAGGCTCAGGCCTGGTGTACATAAGGGGAAAAAGCTGCCCTGGTGGCATATAGTCACCTTAGGGAAGGGAATGCCCACTAACGTCCAGCCTTTCCACTGAAAAACATGCCTGAGATGGCCCCCAGACTAAAGCAGCCAATAGGAACAGACATGAGAGGCTATCAGATGTGCTCCCAACCTCTGCCAAAAACAAAGAGAAGGATCTAGATATATTTTTCCCCTTAAAAGCCCAACCCCACGTAGTCGCCAGGTGTAAGGCAAGGGAATTACAGGAGGGCTGGGCCACGGAGGGGAGGGAGTGTGGACTTTGAGCTGGAAGAGCTGGAGCAGTGGCTGGAATGTGGAGAATGCAGGTCACACCACCAGGCCGGGATTAATGGCCCGCATCCAGTGCCAAGAACAGCTTAATTCTCCCTGGGGAATGGCAAAAGCTTCCACCCAGGATCCGCCTCCTCCTCCAGCTTAAAGGGCCTGTACCTTGTCCCACTGCCACGAGCCCACGAGACGGGGAACGGGAGGCGAGCGGGCAACTCCATCCCCACACTGTACCAGTGTTGAGTGGTCTCTTGGGGACTTACTTTGTGCAAGGAGTTTCGTCACAGTGCCTTGGTTATTCTCCTGGTTTTCCTGGGTCTTGCTGGCCAGCTGTTTGTTTGCAGACTCCAGCCGTTCTGGTCCAGAAGTGATTAAAAACGATTACATTCAAATATAATTTCAATGGAATTAACAGGGAGCAGCCTGGCTCCCAGTGAAAATATCTACCCTAATAAAATCAGCTCAAAACAGACSTTTTAGGAAAAGGCCAAGGGCACCCACTGGAATGGAGGAGCAGAGAGGTGCCACCAGCTAGTTGGAGACATCAAATCATCCTGGCCAAGGACTTGCATGGACGAGATGGGTGGGTGACCTGGCCACATGCACCCATTCTCACTGGGAACGGATTGACCTCCTGAAGAAGGGCAGGCATTTGCCTGGCATGTGGAGGAAGCTCCACCACCCCAGGCCAGATCACAGCCCAATTATAATCATCATCCTCACTCACTCTAAASAGTGGAGTTGAGAGGTGCTCCCCCTGCCCGGTGCTGCCTGCAGCCCCTCACCTTTCAGATCCCGGTTGAAGTCCTGGAGCCGACGCATCTCCCCATCTCTCTTGTTCCTCATGGCTTTCTCCAACGCTTCCCTCTTGGAAGAGGCCTTCATGAGGTTTTCATAATCCTCTGAAATGCGCTGAATCTCTGTTTCCAGCTGAAGGAGGAGGAAATGACAGGCTGAGGTTAGATATTCTTGGAATGAGGAAAAGAAAGGGAGATGTTGGCTAAAGATGGCCCAGATTTCTCAACTTGACCTGAGCTGCCAAAAGAGCATTGCGGATCCACAGAACCCTGAAGGTCGGTAATTCTGTCTTTGGTCTCCACCAGCCCAAGCTCACATCTCACACCTGAAACCAGCCCCTGGCCCACAGCAGGGACAGGGACAGCAGGAACTCCACAGGTCACRACAGAGATGCAGGGCAGCAGAAAGCCAGTGAGTGCAAGGGAAAACCTGCCTRCACTTGCCTGGCCCAAGCTTTGCCCATAATTATTGCATGTATGTCAATAAAACACCTCCAAACCCTTTCCCTTCACCTCAAGCGAACCTGAGCTGGCAGAACCATCTCCAGATCGTTTCAGAGCTTCCAAAACTCACTCATCTTCCCCTGCCCCTCCGTTTGGGACCTGCCTTTTATTTTCAACCATATTGTGGTGCTTGGTGAAGAGGGGCCTGGTCTGAGCCAGGGGCTGCTCCATCCCTGCTCCATCAGCTCCCAGAGAAGACACTCCAAGAGTGGCTCTAGCTAGAGTGCTCATCTGCCCATGGCAGCTGGTGGGCCCTAGAGGCTTCCCGGGCCACAACTCAGTGGTGGAGTGTCCAGGCGTGTGTGGAGAACCACAGGGCTTGCGGTGGCAGCCGAGCGCACACCCGAGCCAGACCAGCTCGACCGGTACGGGTGCATTTTTGCCCAAATAACTGCACTTATCCAAGAGGCTCCCAGCAGCAGAGATGAGAGCGCTCTGCGCCCCAACTGGCGCCGCTGGAAAGCCCAGCAGCCACATCGCGAGCGGGGCGGCGCGCGCTGGGCCCTGCCGCTGCGGGGCCGCCGCTCGCCCGCCGGCCCGGGGCTGCCGCACGCCACGGCCTCCACAGCGCAGCCTCCCTCCTCGCCAGGAGGCCTCCAATGGCCCGTTTGTTCTGCGCCGCCGGCGGGGAACAGGCCTCCCCTTGTGCGCCTCCGCACAAAGGGCTTTCTGTGGCGGCCGGGCGCAGGCTCGGTGCAGGAGGGACAGCCAGAAAGAGAGAGACACAGAGAGAGAGAGGGCCCAACTGTTACCGGAGCCAGAGAACGGGCTCTTTTTTCCCCCCAAACGGCACAGCAGCTCGGGCAAGGACCTGTTGTGCGCTGTTGAAGCACAGCTGTTTGGAGGGGTGGTGTAGGGGGGCAAAAAACAGTCACCAGACAGAGGGGGAAGAGATTAAAGCCCGAAAGGGGGGTGAATTTTCACRACAGCTGTTTGATCCTCCTCCACCAAGCGCACAAGAAAGCCGGGACAAAGCCAGGGCCTGGGCGGGCACGTTCCTCAGCACAGGCCCAGTGAGGCCTCCACAGAAGCCCTTGTTGCAGGCATGATCTGCCATGGGTTCGCAGCACGTTGGCTGCCCAAGGCACCTCCAGTGGCCTCATTTCCCTCCTCCGAGAGGGATGAGTCTCCATGGGAAAGGCCTAGGTGAAAAGCAGGATGCTGCTGGCCCCAATAGGTTTGTGAAACACCAGCTGTGCCAAGGCAGCAGATGGCCAACAAGCTTCACGTGCAATGTATGTGCACCACAAGGGCTGAAGTGCCCATCAGGGAATGTCCCTTTGGGGGCACCAGCCTTTCCAGTGAGCTCCTTGACCAGCATGTGCCAAGTTTCCACTGAACCGCCACCAAAACCAGGCCAGGTCACTGCAGCTTGATCTCCAACACCAAAGCTCCTTCGGCTCCTCTCAGAGCCTCCCCAGAAGGTAGGTGAGATGCAACACAAAGGTGCCCTTGACACTCCCACCCTCTCTGGGTGCTCAAAACCGGGCCCCGCGCTGGGCTCCTACGCCAGCAAACAGCCCCCACAGCTCATGTACCTTCTGGATCCGAGTGGCTTTCTCGGCGTAGCCCTCCAGCTCCCGCCGGAGCTTCTCGCTCTCCCGCTGCAGCTTCTCATTCTCCCGCAGCAGTTTCTCGTTGTCTCTCAGCACGGTGTCGGCGTGGGCCAGGCGGGTGCTGGCGGAGGCCGCCTGGGCCGTCACCAAGGCCTCCATCCCGGCCGGGCCGAGGCACAGGGGGCTCTGCTGCGGCAGGAAAGCCGCGGAGACATGAGGCGGCATCGCCCTGCGGAGAGGAAGGGGCAGGGGCGCTCAGGGGCCTCGCAGAGCTGAAGCACGTTGGTCAGCTCCACCGCAGCGCACCCGGGCACCTCACTGCTCATAGAAGCCCATTACAAGCTTCTTCACAGGACCCCGGTGTCTTCAACCTCCAGTTGAGCCACATGGAAGAGCAAASCAACAGGCAGGCCACGCTCTGCCGTGCCGGGGTGGCAAGCACTGGTCTGTGCTCACACATCTGAGGACACGGCAGGCCCCTTCAGGCAGGATCTGGCTCATCTGAATGGAGCGGGAGGCTCGCAGGGGTTTCTCCCATGCCTTCCAGGCAGAGCTGGGAAGCCTCTGCTTTGTAAAGGGGGATCCCAGGAGGCTAGGGATGCACCTTGCCCTAACACCTTGAGCTAGGGATGCCCAGAACATTTCCCAACCTGGGATTTTTCAGTGTCTGGGACRCTTTGAAACCTAAGGATGCCCATCTTAGGTGAGGATAGACTCCCAGGCCCAACCCACTGCTGGGAGCACCAGCAACAGAGGCAGTGGGGAAAATTCAGCAAGAGGACGCATCTCAAAAGCACCCAGAGCTTCCTGGCCTTGTCTGGGGGGCAGAGCAAGGCTGCAGGCTCCTGAGGTGGCTCTCTACTAAAAGGGCTCACCCAGAGATTATTAATACGTCCTCCTTCCATCTCAAAGGCGGGCAGGCTCCCCCATCACCCTCCCCGCCGCAGCAACTGCTCTGAGTTCCTCGACATCCCAGCGGCAGCCTGGAATGCCCAGAATGCTGCGCGGGCGCCCTGCCGGAGCCGAGGCGGCACGGGACCCACGGCCGCCCGCCAAGGGCCCGCATTCCTGCGGCATGATATAGGAGCAGGAAAGAATAACCGCCTCGTCCCTGCAGCCTCCCCTTCCCCTCTTTGTTCCCCTGCAAGGAGAAACGTTTCCTGCCGGAGACGCAGCCCGCAGCTCCGGACGGGAGAACAGGAGGCTGCCGTGGGCCTGCCGGGGCTCCCCCAGGGCACGAGAGCAAGTGAATCCGGCACTATCCRTCTCCCTCGGACGGCACTCCGGCTCATTTTGCCAGGGTTATTTGCTCTGTCACCAACCCACAAGATCCCTTTGGTTTGGGACTGCAAGGCTGGGTTTCCACAGAGTGGCAAGAACATTTTCCTTCCACCCTGGCCCATGCCTGTTCCAAATTTAGCCATTTCCTGGTCTGGTTCCAGCTTCTAAATTAACCCAAAATTCCAGGCAGAGCTTTAGGAGGGGGAAGGGTCTATGGAGGCTGTGGCATTTTCACTGCCAACTGGAAAAACTGACTTCCAGTTTGGCTACACCAGGGAAGAGTGTGGCCTTGGTGCTTAAATGTGGAGCTGAGGGGACTGGTGCACTCAGCAGGTATGGATGGTGTCTCAGTGCTGGGCTACAGGGTCTCCTATGGCTTCACGAGCCCTGTTGTCCTGAGGTTGTCCCGTGTCCTATGTGCCCACTTGGCTCAGCCCTCACCTGCAGGGAGCGATGAGCCATAGAGCCCACACAGCCCCCATTGCTACCCAAGGTCCCCAGCCCAGGGTCACRGACCCCAGCTTCTCCACATGCCAGGGCCACCAGGCCCCCGCGCTGGGAGGCACCTCGCAAGCACAGGCGAAGAGGAGCACAGGTCCTGCAGGTTACCTGACGCTGGGGTGCTGAAACACCGGACCTTCCTGTGAGCAGGCTCTGGGATCCGCCAGGTAAGCAACGGAGGCGTCCTGGGAAGGCAGGATGTAGGGGTACTCCGGAGGAGGTCCCCGCGGCTCCGTGCCCTCCGAGTGCTGGCCCCTGAGGGCGGAGAGCTGGTAGTGCCTGGAGAGCTGCGGGTAGCTGTGGGACGAGCTCATGTGGCTCTGCGCCTTGGCGCCGTTCCTCTCCAGGGACATCTGCATGAGGCGCTCGCTCAAGGAGCGCACGTGGCCGTGCTTCAGCTCCTTCAGCGAGTCRTCGGGGCGCCGCGCGCCGCTCCCGGCCCTGCGCTGCCCGCTGTCCCCGGGAGCACCGGCGCCAGCGCCGCCGGGCTGYGGGCCACCCCGCTGCGAGGCATAGTACTGCGAGTGAGCCTTGGCCTCCTCGTAGGTGGGCAGCTCCTCGCCCTTGTGCTGCGGCTGGTAGAGCCGATAGAGGCTGCTCTCCAAGTAGGCATGGTCGGAGTGATGCTCCTGGCCCTGGGGCTCCTGCCGCGTGGACTGCTGCACCATTTGGCTTTCTTCTTGGGTAAGGCTCTCAAGAGACGAGCGGGGGCTGCCCGCGCCACCCGCCCCGCGCAGCGCTTGCTGCTGAATGGCCAACAGCGTGCGGTTCTCCGTGAGGTTGCCGTACCGCAGCTGCTCCTGGATGAGGCGGTGCAGGACGGTCCCGCTCGAGTCCTCCGCCGTCCTCATYGCCGTGCGCGCGCTTGGCGGCCGCCCGCTCCTGACGCAGGGAAGCGGCCAAAGCTCTAGCAGCCACGGGGCACGTAGTGGCACCTGCGAGGGGACAGAGGGCACGTCAGGGAACCCGCACGGCAAGGAGCCCCCKCACACGGGAAGCGTCTTTCCCGGGCTTTCCTTTCCCGGGAATCCTGCTCGCTCGGACGGGGAGCAGCGGCAGCCCAAAGCGGCAGCGCAGATGGGAGCCGAGCGCCGAGCCGCGGCGCTCCCGGGCTCGGAGCGGGGCCAAAGGAGGCGCTTGCGCTGCGGGATGGGGCGCGCGGAGCGTCCCCGGGACGGCACTTACCGCGACATGGCGGGAGCGGCGCGGCGGCGGCGGCCCGGGCGGCGCTCTGAGCTCCGCGCCGGCGGCCGGGGGCCGCGCCGGGCCCCGCTATGCCAGGAATGCGGCGCCGGGCCCGCCCCGGCCCGCCCCGGCCCGGCCCGCCCCGCGGGCCCGCCCCGCCGCCGGCGCGCTCGTAGCCCCCCCAGCTCAGCCTGTCCCGAAGGTTTTCCCCGTCCCAAATCCCGGAGGGAGAAGTGGCCGGGGCCGCCGGCCGAGGCGCGCGGGGCGAGGGGCCGCAGCTCCCCAGTGCCGGGGGGCCGCGGCCGCTGCCCGCCAGCTGCCCGGCCCACAGCCCTTCTGCCCGGGGCGCCCCGGCGTGTCCCGGCACCGAGCGGGCCCGCGAGCAAGGAAGGGAAAAGGCTCTGCCTTGCCCATCTGCTGCTCCCGCCGCTCGGGCGGCCCGTGGCGAGCCGGGCGGCGCACAGGGCTGCTGCGGGCCTGGCTTTGCCCTGGCTTTGCCCTGGCTTTGCCCTGGCTTTGCTGCCCCTTCCTTGGCAGGTGCTCCTGGGAGCTCCCCACACTCCTCACAGCCGGTGCGGGGGGATCACGCTGAGCTCGGCCCCAGTTTTTGCCCCGGCCCCAGTTTTTGCCCCTGCCACCTTTCCCAGTTTGTGCCCCCCCTTCTCCCAGCATTGCATTGACTTGGTAATTTCAGGAATGTGGTGATTTCCTCTCCTCTTCCCCGATCTCCACTTCCCCGCACAATGCTGGGGGCGAGGAGGGGGAGCTGGAGGCAGCAATTTGCTCAACTCGAGTCAAAGATTAACTCCCTCCCCTCCCGTCCTGCTGCATATTTCTTCCCTTCCCTGTACCCCTCTTATCTCAGCAAGGGGGAATGGGGGGAGCCTTTCCTTCCCAGGCGGGAGACTGGGTCCATGGTCCTTCCAAGAGGGAGCTGCCGCCTCGGGAGCAACAGGAGTGCCGAGAAGCTCCTGGCCGTAACCATTCCCTACTCAGATGCTGGGCTCACCCTCTCTGGCAGTGCTGGGGCTCTGTAGGTTGTGATTTTGTAGGAGATGAACTCAGGGATCTGGAAGATCCCATGGGATCTGCCTTGGGATCCTGTGGGAGCTGCCTTGGGAATAGTTGGGTCACCCCCAGTGTGGCAGAGACTSTACGGGAGGATGGCCAACCTGGTGGTCCTCTTGCTTCCAAACCATGGAACATTGTCCAGCMATGTGCCACTCCTGGAGAGGGCTTGCAGGGAAAATAAGGAGAAATAAGGAGACTTCATATGCACAGACAAGTCTGTTCCCCAAGCAAGAATGTGAGTGATGCAGAGACGTGCTGGATAAGCCATTGAGCAACAGAAGAGCAACACAAGGCCCATCTCGACCTTTCCCTAGTGCCCTAGGAGTCAACTGGAAACCTGGTGGTCTCCAGATCAAGGTGYTCAAGTCATAGCCCAAAAGCTAATGCCAATGGGAGTGAGGTCCTTGGCTGGGCATGTATCCAGCAATGCCTTCCTCTGGGACCTTCCTCAAGGCCTGAGCCGTCCAGAAGTCCTGTGGCTCTTTGTGCAGGCCGTGGGGCTTGCCAAGCTGGAGGAGACTTTGCTGGCGGATWCATCTTGGGGATCAGCCTTAGAGAAGGCTACCCATGCTTCAGCCAGTGTCATTTTCCCTGCTTGAAGGGCTCCTGACACCATATTGCTGGCATGACCCTGTGCTGCTCCTGCCACCAACCGCCAGCCTCTGGACACCATGCCGCGCTGCTGGGACACCAAAATGATGTGACCGCGCTCACTCACCCGGAATTTTACCGGCGACCCTCACACGGAGGATGAGCTGCAGCTACATCGCAAGTCCTCCAGCCCCTGCGTCCCAGCCTGCTGCGGCGCCTGGCCTGTCTCCCAGGCTGGAGCGCGGCGCGGAGGAGCRGGCAGCCCCATCCCGTGACGCCTTCCCGTGGCGCTGGCGCGCACGCGTGGCCGGCAGCCGCTGCGGCGCGGCGCTCGCTGCTCGCCGCGCTCCCAGACGGCAGATGGTCAGAGGGGCTGCCGGAGGGGCAGGTGCAGGGAAAATTGCTAATTAGATACGGGCCATTAAGCTCCCCTTCTGCACAGAGAGAGAAAGAGAGGGACTTAAGCACCTTCCAGGCTCCACACAAAACCGCTCGGCCTCAGGCGGGACTCAGTGCTTCCGTGGAGACACCTCAGTGAGCCCCGTGGCTGCTGCAGCACCGAGGCTGTTTTGTCTCTGCAGAGAAAAGGGGGGGCTCCGGGGAAACTTGTCTGCTCACAGGGCCCTGGGACGGAGCCAAAGGCCCTTTAGAGTCTCTGTTTCATGAGCAGGTGGGGAGCAGCATCCTCCAAAGAGCCAGTGGCAGTGGCACGCGGGAGAGCAACAGATGCAAAGCCAAGACAGCACAAAACAAGGCAGCGAGTGCCCGAAAATCAGTCTGCTCGCCCCAGCGAGTCCTTTGCAAGGTCCTCACTGCACTGGAGTGGCCAGGATGGGGTTGGTTCTAACGGGTCAAGCCTGCAGATCCCTCCGTGGTGTTTTCCCTCTCCATGCCACCCTTCCCAGGCAGGTCTTTGCAGGAGGTCCTCCGTCAGCTGCAACGTTTAAGTTTCTGCCCTTTCTTCTTGCCTTGCCGTCTCTACTAGGGTGATTCCCACCTCCCTGGGCTGGCATTAATGCCTGGTGGCCAAGCTGCCTTGTGGCAAAAGCTACCATAGCTCTGAACAGGCATCGGCATTTGCAATGCTCCCACTTCAGCTTCATCTTCAAAAAGAAATCAATCGATGATTAAATAAAAAAATACATCACTCATGAAGTAAGCAACAGCAGCAGTGAGTTAAAGCCAGGAAAGGCTTCAGAGCTGAGGAGCCAGTGAAGCTGCACGTGGAGCTTGTGGGAAGGTGCAGGGAAGGAGAGGGACATAGTGCGGTGRGCGCTGAGATTTGGGGCAGATGCAACCGGATGGTTGTGACGCTGATGTGCTGGATCTGCATTCCTGCATGACAAAGGCCCTCAGCGTCCCCCGGGATGTAGGTGCTGAGCTTATGTTTAGCACTCAGGAGGCCACCAAGCAGTAAAAGAACTAAGAAACTAGAGCTTCCAGAGCAAATGTTTTCTCATGACAGGTCAAATACACCCAACAAACCCCTCGATGGGTGGAAATCAGCACAGGCCCGTGCAGAAAAAGGAGATACTCCCAAACCCAGCTGTGGGTCCGTTTCTCTGAGCTGTGACTGGTCCTGGATGGTGCACACAGACACTGCATTCCCATGTCCCCACGCTCATGCTAAGTTTGGAAACACATCCCAAGAGCATCAAGCAAGGTTTGGCCACCTCACATGGTCTCCAGCAGAGCAGGAGACTTCTCCACAGCCCTCTGCTCTTTGGGCAGGCCCAAAGCCATGAGCGGGTTGTCCAGCTGGGATGCAGCAACTCGGCACCAAGATAACCGGAGATCTGATGGAGCCGGCTTGGCTCCCTGTTGCAGCTCTTCTGGCTCATCCGCTGCCCTTATCAACGCCTGCGTCATCCCGTTTCCCTTCCCTTGCTATCTCAGCCGCGTTCTAAATTTGGCAGCAGGAAACCCCTCCTGGGCTGATAACAACAATTTGGAAAGTGATCTGAAGAGGAAAACCATCCCCTACTCTTATTTTTTAACCTCTTCACTGCACCCCATGCGTTGCCCCTGCTTCATAAGTGCGTACRTCGGGCTGGACGCCCAGCAGCAGGAGGGAAGCGGCCTTGGTAGCTCCTGTTATGCTCCTTTTCTCAGGGTGGAGCAGGAAGGTCTACGAGCCCAGATTTGGCTGGTTTCTGCGACAGGGATTCATGCTTCCATTTGGCTCAGCAAAGGAAAGGCCTGTGCAAGAAGGGACCATGTGGCTGGCATGATGCCTCCTCCTTGGCCATGTCCCCAATGCTCTTGGTGGCTTGGGATTGCTGACTTCTGACCGGGAGTTGAAGCTGCTCCAGTTTTCTAGTGCCCATCTCAACGCTGCCTCGTTAATGAGACTCAGAACATTTTCCTCATAGCCATGAAATTGTCTTCTCGATTCACCCAGAGAAATGCCATCTCTGATCCTAGTCTTCCTGCTTTGGAGGGGCTTTAGGGAGGAACATTGCACGTGGAGCATGGCTTTGGGAGATGGACATGAGGATCAGCTTCCACAGCAACGTACCTGAAAAAAGAAAGCGATGGGCTGAACTTCATATTTAGGAGAAGCAACCAAAACCCTCTTCAGCCCCAAGCCCAAGGCCGCTGGGGATGGCCAAGCGGCTCGGGCAGGGCGGTGAGGGGCACTGCTGGCGCGGCGGTGTTTGCGCCGGTGCGGAGGGCAGGCGGCTGCAGGTGGCCGTGCGCCCTGCGTGACACACTGCTCCACAATGCAAAACCCTCCCGCTGACCTCACCGCCGAGCCTTATCTGCAAGGCGTTGGAGCAAGATGAATGAGCCAAGAAAATACTCCCACAATGAGATCACCTCGGCTCGCGCCGCGGCTCCGGAGCGCTTCAGCCTTTGCAAGCCCAGAAGCAGAGCAGAGAGGCTGCGGGCACTGTGGCGAGGAGAGGAGGGTGGTTAGTGACCAAAAGGAGGTTGGCCGCCTGCGCTGAGCGTGGCTGAGTGCGTCTGTTTTGGTGGGGAAAGCGTGGCTCCAGCCAGGTGCCCGGTGCACGGCGCTGGGCTGGGTCATGGGATGCTGAGCACTCCAGAGTGCTCTGTGATTTTTCCTAGAAAGCTCCCTTTGGGTATCCAGATCCTTCTCAAGCTCCCGAGGAGGGGCACCTGGGTCTGCAAAGGCCGTGCTGGGGCACTTCTCACCACATGAGCGGCAGCCTGGTCTTGCTTCCCTCGACACAACTGGGAATGGGCAGCTGGCAGCCCAAGGATGCTCCTGAGGAAGAGCTGACAGAGATGGAGAATTATGGGCTTAAAGAGGCACAACTGCTTGAACCATGGAGGCTGCCTCCCCACAGCTCTGTGGCTGCCATGTTAGGCACTATTAATAGTCCAGTTGTTCGATCTCAGCTGCTTCCCTTGGGACACAACCCAGGGATGTTTTCAGCCTATGCTTCCTTGTGTACATCCCTAAGAGCTCCCACCTCAGGCTCCTCCAGGCTGATCAGTCCCAGCTCTCTCAGTCCTTCTACCTCTATGAGAGACGCTCTAGTCCTTTAGCCATATTAGTAGCTCATTGCTGGACCTTCTGAGGTCCCTTCAGTAGTATGTCTTTAAATGGCAAATACAGTAGTCTCCCAGATAATGTTTTTACTGATGTAGGGATGAAGGTTGCATGCAGCCTCCATGCTGTAGCATGCAGATTGGGGTGCAGCTCCACGTTAGTATCTCCATATCACCAGTTTTAAAATCAATGTGTGGTCCACAGATGTGGACATTGGCCCCTCACCCCCCTTCCAGAATTGGCTCCCCAGCAGATGGGCTTGTGTCCAGGTGAGTGATGTTTGGACAGGGAGGCAGTTGCTGGTCGCACCTCCACACTCTTGCCCCTTTTCCAAGCTCCTGGACATTGCACTTTGAAGCCAAATGCTCTGAAATGGAGGCATTGCAGTTTGGGGCTGCATTAGCGCCCAAGGGCTGGAGTGCCAGCATCCTCACCTGGGCATCTGCTGTCCYTTTGGTCCTGGAAACACCTCCAAACCACATCAGGCCTGAACAGGACTCTTCTTCCACATCCTGTGATATTGGTTGCTCTCCTGCAGTCCTCTCTGGGAGGTGCCTCATTTTAGGAGTATCTCAGCTCTGCCGCCAGCAGCAAGTGAGGCTGCAAAGTGGGGCCGAGAGAGCCCAACTCGTGGGCCTTTCCCAGGGCTCCCACGCGGCTGCTGAGGTCCCGGCTTGCACAGGAGCCTGTTCCAAAGAGAACTGGCAGGACACGGGTGTGAACGACTTCCCCTTTCTGTTTTTCTTCCCAGCTCCCTTGTTCCCCTTTTCACTGCTTGTGAGCCACTGACTGATAAGGCTCTGTGATAAGGGCAGTGGAGGAAGGGGAGGAACCATCCCTTCCAGTCTGATGGGAAACCCAAGCAGCTTCAGCATGAGCTCGGCTGGGGAACCAAGGTCCATAATGCCAGGGGGAGGTTGATGGGGACAGTCCTGTCCCCAGGACACAGCTCCAGCACGGGAACATCTGCTTTGCCTCTTGTGCATGCACCACAAACCAAACTCACCGCGGACTCCCAGTGGCAACCCAGCAGCACTCAGCAAAAACGCCATGCTGGGAAGATGATCACTAAAACCCAGTGCAGAAACATATAGGAAGGTGGGTCTCTGCAGGGAGCTAGGCTGTTTTAGATGTGGAAGAGAAATATTTAGGAGAAAAAAGAAAGGGTGAACCAGAGTACAAGAACGAACTGCTTGGCTGAGGAGTCAGGATGATCTGATGATCTTCCAGAGGACAACAAAGGAACTCCCAAGGAAATAGCAGCTTGTTCTCCTTGCCTTGGGCAGAGCTGGTGTCRGGCCTTGGTCCCCTCACAGGCAGCACAGAGACTTCCACTAAATAAGGGAGGATGCAGGGTCTGGCTCCAGGTGAGAGTCACATAAGGTTGGCTCTAGGCCTTTCCCTGTCCACACCACTATCTCTCTTCTCAACCTATTTCTTTACCTTCAGTCTCTGCCTCATGCTTCATTGGGGTATAGCCCAAACCTTCTCTTCTACTGAAAGCAAAAATGAGAGCAAATGTGTGCCTGGAGAGTGACATCTCTCCAGCCATCAAAGATGCCTGCAGCAGGACATCAGGTGTTCACTGGCCAAAACTGGGCTTGGCTAGATYGCATCTTCCAGGGACTAAGTCCTGGGGTAAGGAGTGTTCCAAATAGGAGACATG